GCACACTAAAAAACTTCTTTCCTTTCCTGGATCCGGGCAAATTGTCTTTGCTTGTCCAGCCCACGCTGGCACTACTGGCCAGAGGCTGCTTGCTCTGGTCATCCCCATCTAAGTTCTCTTCATTTCCTTTGCCTTATTCAACATTTATTTTGTCAGATCCATGTTGTGGTTAATCTAAGATTCATGGCTCAGCTCATTTATGTTATTTGGATAGTGTGAATAAGAGAATTTGATTTTCAGCAGGCATCCCCTCATTAATGCAGCTGGCCTTAAAAACCTCTCTTATCCTTTTTAGTGGAACTCGGCCAGTAACAATACAATCTCGTAGGTTTGGAACTTTTCTATCAACGTCGCCTGCCTCCTTCTCAGGAACCATGACAGTGATCCCAAAGGACTCACTGCTAGGATGTATTCTTTAACACTGGAACTGTTTAAACTAAATGGGCTTAAGAAGAGAACACTGATATTTCTATGTAATACTTTTTGGCCTCAGTATTAGCTGGAAAAATAAGAGAAATGGCCTCCCACTGGAACTATGGCCTTTAATACTATACTTCCATTTGATTTGTTTTGTAAGAGAGACGAAAATGAGATAAAATACCATATGTTCGAATATTTTGGCTGTTCAGTCGGGATAAAACCCTGCAACAGGCATGTGCATGTTTAATGAGAGGAAATGAAGAAAATGAACTAGACATACTAGATATTAGATGATCCCTTGATACAAGCCCCCAGAGTTCAGTAAGCATTTCTGAAAGGAGCAGAACCTCCTTCTGTCATCTCTGAAGGTTCAGGTGTGTTGACCCTTTCTCCCTCTAGTTGACCTGGAAGTTCTATTGAGACCTCTTTGTCCCCACCTCCTTACCCACCTAGTCCCACTCTATACCCACCACTCCCTGAGGAACCTAGCCTTGTGAGGACTACTCATAGTGGAGCCTCTTATTAACCTCCAAAGGGAAATCTTTGTCCACTTAGAGAGGTGGCAAATGGGGAAGAAGGCACTGTGAAAGTACATATCCCCGACTGGGTGCAGAGGCTCGCGCCTGTAATCCCAGCACTTTGGGAGGCCGGGGCAGGTGGATCACAAGGTCAGGAGATTGAGACCATCCTGGCTAACATGGTGAAATCCCGTCTATACTAAAAATACAAAAAATTAGCTGGGCGTGGCGGCATGTGCCTGTAGTCCCAGCTGCTGGGCAGGTTGAGGCAGGAGAATGGTGTAAACCTGGGAGGTGGAGCTTGCAGTGAGCCAAGATTGCGCCATTGCACTCCAGCCTGGGCAACAGAGGGAGACTCTGTCTCAAAACAAAGCAAAACAAAACAAAACAAAGAAAACAGAAAACCAAAAAACAAACAAACAAACAAACAAAAAAAAAACAAAAAAGAGTACATATCCCCTTTTCTATGTCTGATTTGACTCTATGTAAAAAGAAGTTTGGTCATTTCTCTGAAGATCCAGGAAAACTCATAGACAAGTTTGAGAAATTAACTCTGACTTATAGTTTAACTTGGAAGGATCTGCATGTTCTGTTGTCTTTGTGTTGTACAGTGAAAGAGAAACAATGCATCCTGGGGACAGCTAGGATCCATGCTGATGAGTGAGGACTTAGGGAGGAGAGATCATATGGTCACTTGTTTGTTGGAAGGGATGAAGAAGTGTATGACAAAGCCTGTTAACTATGAAAAGGTTAAGGAAGTTCCTCAGGGTAAAGATAAGAATCCAGCTTTGTTCCAACAATGTTTAGTTGGGGCTACTAGGAAATATATTAACACAGATCCTGACTCAAGGGAAGGATAGACCCTTTGGGGAGTACATTTTATAACCCAGTCTGCCCCTGATAACTGTAAGAAACTACAAAGCACAGCTATGGGTCCCCAGACACCTATAAATCAGCTTTTGAATATGGCATTTTTTGTTTTTAATAACAGGGACAGAACAGGGGAAGCAGAAAGAGCAAAAAGAACCTCCTACAAGGTGTAGCTCTTGGCTGCAGCCTTAAGCTCACCTCCAACATGAGGTTACCCTTTTGGCTCTTGACCTGAACTAGTGAAGCAAAAAGGTGGAAAGCCCAGAGCTGGGCATCTGAGTTACTATGCCTTGGATATTCATCAGTGTGTATACTGTAAGAAAACTGGCCATTGGAAAAGGGAATGCCCAGCATTCCGAAGGGAGCCATTGGCACCCAAACCAATGATGGCCAAAATAGCCAAGCAAGCCCAAGAGTGGTGGGGCCCAAGACGTTCTTACACACCTCCTGTTGGACAACTAGCCACATCTTCAGAGGAGCCTCAGGTAACCCCTAAAGTGAAGGTAAGAATATTAACTTCCTTCTGGATACAGGAGCTGCTTACTCTGTTTTGACCATTATAATGAGCTTCTGTCACCCCAAAAGTGTATGGTCATGGGGTTAGATGGACAAGCTCACCGATGCCACTTTACCTATCCTGTAAGCTGCCCATCAGGGACTTTGGTTTTCTCAGTTGCCTTTCTTATAATGCCTGACTGTTCCACCCCTTTATTGGGAAGGGATTTGTTGATCAGCTGCAAACAGTGGTACCTTTCGGAAATAACAAAGCAGATGAAAGATTGCTCCTTCTCCTTTTCTGTGATAAGGGAGGAAAGTTAATAGGCGACTTATCTAGCTTACCTATTGAAGTAACCCCCCAAGTAAATCCTATAGTATGGGACACTGAGGTTCCAGGCAAAGCATTAAACAGTCCCCTAGTTTGCATCCAACTTAAGCCTGGTGTCCTGTACCCCTGGAAGAGACAATACCCTTTAAAGCTCGAGGCACAAAGAGGGATTGGACCATTAATAGCCAAGTTTTTGCAATTCTGGTTGTTAAGGCCCTGTGAGTCTGCTTGTAATACTCTAGTCTTGCCAGTTGGAAAGCCAAACCGCGACTATAGATTTGTTCAATAGCTTCAGGCTTTCAATGAGGCTATCATTCCCATATATCCTATAGTGCCCAATCCCTATGTGCTGTTAGCCCAGGTCCCTGGGGATGCTGACTGATTTACAATCTTAGATCTTAAAGATGCCATTTTTTTGGCATTCCATTACACCCTGATTCATAATTCATCTTTGCGTTTGAACAGACAGATCCCAAGTTAATTGAGTCATCTGGTTTCTCAGTTAACTTGGACGGTTCTTCCCAGGGAAGGCTCTCAGGCAGAGCCTTCATCTGTTTGGAAATGCATTGGCTAGAAAATTAAGACTATTATAATTGAATAAGGTCACTATTATCCAATATGTGGATGATTTGTTGGTTGCTAGCACAACCAAAAGAGACTCGGAAGAAAACACCATTAAGTTGGTAAATTTTCTGGGAGCTAACGGGTATAGGACCTTGCTGCATAAGGCCCAGGTTTCATCTCAAGAGGTTAAACACTTAGGATATATATCAACCCCTGGCACCTGGGCAATAGCCCCAGCATGAAGGGAAGCTATCCTGGGCATTCCAGAACCCAAAACCAGAAAGCAGCTGCAGGCTTTCCTAGGGCTGGCAGGATTCTGCTGTTTATGGGTGCCTGGATTTGAGCGTATGGCCAAGCCGTTATATGAGGCCCTGAAAGGAGCAGATGTAGATCCTCTTGAATGGGATAGCAATTGTAAACAAGCTTTTAATCCTTTCAAGGAGAAATTTGGATCAGCTCCAGCCCTGGAGATCCCTAATCTTGATAAGCCATTTTTCCTTTATGTGGCTGAAAAACAAGGAACTGCTTTGGGTATCCTTGTCCAGAAGCTGGGAGATATCTCCTTACAAGTGGCATATTTTTGTACAATTAGACCAGGAAGCTTCAGGATGGCCTGGATGCCTCAGGGCAGTTGCAGCAGCTGCTCTTTTGGTAGATGAAGCCAATAAACTGATTTTAAGACAACATGTGGAGGTTTTTAACCCCACATCAAGTACAAGGAATCCTAGAAGCTGAAGGACACCACTGGATGACAGGGGGGTACTTAGTGAAATATTAGGCTTTGTTGCTAGACACTCCTGCTGTAACTCTTAAAGAATGCCAGATTTTGAATCCAGCTACCTATCTGCCTGATCCCACAGGCACTCTAGATCATTCTTGTATATGAGTTATGGAGTAAGTTTATTCCAGCTGGCCAGATTTAAAGGATGAACCTCTAGATAATCCGGAGCTAGAATGGTTTACAGATGGAAGTTGCTTTATGCACCAGGGAAGCAGAAAAGGTGGGCATGCAGTTGTCAGTCAACACCAGGTAATTGAATCTTAGGCCTTATGGCTCAAAAGGTGGAATTAATAGCTCTTATTACAGCCTTGCAATTGGGAAGGGACTTAAGAATTAACATTTACACTGATTTTAGTTATGCCTTTCTTCATGCTCAAGCTGCTATCTGGAAGGAATGGGGACTCTATCTCAAAAAAAAAAAAAAAAAAAAAAAAAAGCCACAGACACTTTCTCCAGTGGCACTCTGCCTCCAAGGCTCTGCACACCAAGCCTGGAAAAAGTGACCCATCCCGCTGGCTCCACATCAGGAAACCACCCGGAGGGTGCACTCTCCCCAGTCTGCAGGAGTACCCGAGGCCGTGAGGGGTTCAGCCTTCCCTCCAATGTCAAACAACTAGACAAGAGGGGCCCTGCGGCCATCGGCTCAGGCCTGGAGGCTACTGAGGGACTTCTGGGGTGGCGGTCTCACGGTGCTCGCCGCCATCAGCCCGCCTTACGTCCGGCTCTCATTTCCGACCCTCAGGACAAGGCCCGGACTAACAGCGCGGCCTGCGGGGCTTCACTTACATCTCGCCTGGCAACGGCCCTTACATGGGAACCTCACTTACGACGGCGACCAGGCCAAGGGATCTTCATGTACTACCGGCCGGCGGAAGCTCACTGGGGACCCGGCTCTCACAGGGAACCGCCAGGGGGCTCCACTTCCGCCAGGGGCTCCACTTCCGCCAGGGGACTCCACTTCCGTCAGGGTGCGCCTCGGAGATGCGACTGTGGCTTCCGCCAGGGCGCGCTGGCCACTTACGTGAGGGCCCGCTGTCGGGCGACGATGCACTCGGGCCGGCCGCCGCGGAACACCAGGCGCGCGTTGGACTGCACCCACAGCCAGCGCCCCTGCTTGGTGAGCAGCCGGAACACCGTGAGCCCGCTCTCGCCCGTCCTCATCACTGCAGGAAGAGAGACGAGGCTCGTGTCCGACGCCGCCGCCCACCACCCGGCTCGGAGCCCTCAGGAGCCGGCCCCGCGGGAGGTGGGGAGGAGCCCCGGGCAGGGTGCAGGGGTCTAGCCCGCCTCCCACGGGGCAGTGTGAGGCCCGCAGGGCGCCTCTGGAACTCACTTCGCACGTGGTTCTCTGCGCAGTACATCATGTCTGCCGCGTGGATGAACTGGTAGCCAGATCCCCTCCTGCAGAGCTCGCTGTCGGTGTAGCCCAGAATCACCTTCCCTCTGTGTAGAGGAGACATCGCACATCCTTTTATTTCAGCCCGGAAGCGGAATGCCGAAGGAATGAAGAGTCACCGCCCCACCCCACGCTTTGCACAGCTCCCCCCAGTTGTCATTCACAGTTCTCACCGAGCCAAGGAGGAACCTTAGGGTCCCCTCTGGAAACCCAGGTCTGGGAAGGGCACCCCTCCCCCCATCAGCACGGCTGGGGCGAGAACTTTAAGGGGCTGCCACACTGAAAAGATTGTGGTGTCCTCTCGGACACTTCTGCCACACATGCAGTTTCAGAATTCTGCTTTAAGCCTGTTTTTATTTGCCTGTGGTGTAGAGCAAGCGTTCTGGTCGTGGAGTAAAGAGAATCCCTGAAACTGTACACAAAATTGTGCTTGTGGGAGAACAATTGGAATTTCTGTTAAGAAGTTCCACAGCTTTCATCAAACGGGTGACCATTATCTTAGCAGAAAAGGTAAACCTTGCAAGTCATACTACTTGCTCTTAAGCCAGTGTTTTCTAGACTATGTTCTAAGAAACACTGATATTGTTGCATGTTAGTTGATGGTCGCCCAAGAAGGCTTCCATTGTTAAATAAGTTTGAAAACAAAAAAAATGAATCGAACTAATTAGATTTCTTCCTAGTGGGACTTCTTGGGGCTTTGCTATGAACTGTTAATGGAAGTCTCCAAGAAGGAGACAAACTTTTCCCAAGATTTACTCTCCGTATCACACTCTCACTCAAATGCCGTATCTTACATGGAAGATTTGGTACATTGTCTCTATAAACACAGCATATTTTCTACTGACTCATTTCACGAAACCTATTTGGACAGGACTAGGTAATTATTCGTGCTTTGCTTTGGTTCTAGGCTCAGGATTTGCGCCATAACTAGTCTTGAAGCACTACTCTAAGAGTCATGATTTTCAGTCAGAGGGATATACCTGGAATCACAGGCTATAGGTGTGAAATCCAATTTGTGTTTTGTTTGGAAAATAAATGTTTTGTTTTGGAGCTCCAGGATGGTGAGAGGCTGACGAGGTGTTGCAGTGGCAAACAGGGTAAGGTGAGGAGACAAGAAGGTGCCGTCTTCTGACTTAGTGTTCTGCCCAGGGAGGAATTTGAGATGGCCCTGGAAATTCAATTCCTGGAAAAAGAAAACCACAAACATAATGAGCACAGAAGGTAAGAGGATGTTAAGTAGCTAAAACTGTATAGAACTTGCCCCCTTATGGAATTCAGAGGAGTCCAGTATCCTGCTGGGAGCCAAACAGGCAGAGCTCTCCTTGAACCCCCAACATAGCACAGGTGTTTGCAGGCCTAGAATCTAATTCTTCTGGCCTGCCCAGCAGGCACTCATCATTTTTCATGGCTCCTCAGCCCTCCCTCAGGGCCCTGCCCCATACAGCCCTTTTCCCAAAGCTGCAGAGCATAGTGTTAGTTAAGCTGTGAGGGGATATACAATTCCAGGTGATGGTGAAGAAGATGAATGTTAACATCCTGAGTTCACCAGGGACTCCGCATGTAGGGCTGTACCAGAGGTAACAGGTGTATCTGAATCCTAAGTAAACATATCCCAAGTCTTAACTAGGCAGAGGAAGTTTCAAAAGACAACTGCATCTTCAACAGGCTGACCCTCTGAAATGTTAGTGAGCTGAAGGCCTGAGGACCCTTCCTGGGGTGGTGAGGAGGCTAGGCCCAACCCTTGGGCAGTGTTCCACCTGAGCAGACTTACATACTGGTTTTGCGAGTCCTGACCCTGTAAAGACAATATGTTTACCAGAAACCCAGAAGAATTGTCCAGCAGGCAGCGGAACCGACAGACAAAGCTTCTCTCCAGGTAGGAAGGGTCTTCCAAGGGCAGATGCTGAACGCTGGCAGGAGGGGTGCCACTAAGTGGGAGGGAACTCTCTCCGGGCAGAGCTGGAAGGACAGAGACACACACTGAGGAGACTCCACCAGTGCAGCCATCATCACAGAGGTGAAATACTATAGCTGTGGAAGCAGCTGGTGGGTCAAAAAATGGGTCACAAGCCCTGTGGCCAAGTGAACTGTGACCTTCACTTGGCTGGATGACTTTGATCAGCCACTCAGGTTGCATTTCTCACACATCACATGATGCTAGTAGTCCTTCCTGCCTGCCTTCCTTCGCCATGTCATGAGGACCAAGATAAAAATGGGATGATGCACTGTAACATATATATCCATCCATTGGTTACCCTGTTGGCTCCACTGTTGAGCTATAGCATAGAGCCAACCACTTGTCATCCCCTTCACCTCTACTGTGCTGGTCAGTTTCCTTGTCATGAGATGACGAGAACATTATGGTGAACCTGGACCCAGACTGGAGCCTCACTTGTTTTGTGACTCTGGTTAGGTTATTTAACCTCTCTATGGGCCTCAGTTTTCTCATCTGACTTAATAAGGTTGCTAGGAGAATTAGACAACTTTACATACGTAAAGCACTTGGAATAGTACCTAGTACATTATAACCTCTATAAGACTTGGCTGTTACTATCATTTTTTTTCTTGTCTTAACTTTGCCATTGCATTCTAACTGGTATCCCTGCATCCACCCTTGCACCCTACCATCTGTCCTTCACTCAGCTGCCATAGCGACATAAAATATGTCACATCATGTCATTTATCTGCTTAGAACTCTCCAGTTACTTCCCACCTGAGAGTCTTCATAGTGGCCTGAGAGGCTAACCTAATATGCACTCTCAACCCTGCAATCTCTTACCAGTCTTCCCTTCACTTTGTGACCTCCCTGCACTCCTTGGTATTCCATAGCTATGCTAAGTGCACTTCTGCCTTAGGGCCTTCGCGCCCTTGCCAGTCCTTCCACCTGCATTGCTCTCCCCCAATTTATCCATACCTCTTTATTTTTAATTGACAAGTAAAATATGTATATATTTATGGTGTAAAACTTTTGATATATGTATACATTGTAGAATGGCTAAAGGAAGCTATTTAACATATGCATTACCTCACATACTTATTTTTGTGGCTATCCATACCTCTTCAAATGATAGTGTGCCCATCCGGTAACGTTTCTCTTTCCTTAATTTAGTTTCTTCTTGGCACTTCCCCACCAGAAACATTACATATTTATTCATGTCTTTATTTTTGGCCCCCTTACCCCATTGAAATTTAAGATCCATCAGAATAGGTACTTGGTCTATTTTTCTCTCTACTCTGTGCCTAGAACATAGCCTGGCACATAATAGGTGCTCAGTAAACATTAAATGGAAAACTGAACCAAGTGTGGTAGAAGTGATAATTTTCTCCTTCTCATTTTCTAGAGTGAATGTCAGTTACTGCTACTTCAGCAGGAAAAGAAAACATTAGGCACAGAAAAGTGACTGGATAGTCTCTCTTACCAGGAAAAAAACACTTTTGTGGAGAATGCTACTTTCATCTTTTTTGGAGTGCTGATTCAGCCTCCTCTCTTTCCCATCTGAGGAATTTGTAGAGAAGTCCTCTCAGAGAGTAATAAGAGGAAAGTCAAATTCTTGGGGTTAAAAATGAAAGTCTCATTTATGCCTCATTAGAAAGTCAAGGATGCAAAACCCAAATTGTTTTGCTACAATTCTCAACATGACAAGTCTGATTATATGTACACCGATGGTTCTCCCTGTGTCACATAAAAATTTAATTCATCTAGACTCAAGTTTTGTGGAAGAATAAGATGAAAGCAAGATGAAGGGAAGAATTTAATCAGAGTCTGGTAAGTTTTACTACTGTTTCTTCTTAATCTGATTTAATAAGGCCCCTAGCACAGTGCCTGGCATGTGGTAGACCCTCAGTAAATGTTGGAACATATACACGTGTGCATAAAGTGTACATCAACTGGAATTTGGGTTAGATGGAGTGGTCTTTAGATGTTTTCTGGCATGTTTATAGCACTGTGATGAAGGTTTTACTTGTATTTCGAGGACTTGTCATGCACACATAGACATGGAGGTAGATTACTGCGTAGTTTCTGCGACTGTGGCAGCATAAGGGTATAAAAGGAATTAAAAATGTGAAATTTTATGTAAAATTTCAGAATATTCACTGTTAAGGACGTAATTCAAACTTGCTGCTATCAGGATGTGTGCAAAATCCTGCAAATTGTGACATTCACAAATGTATTTTGACTATGGTTTAAAATCCAGGAAACTCTTCTTAAATGGGGATGAAAATTCCAATTGGGGTGGAAAAAAGAATGAAAGATTCCAGGGAAGTGAAATCAAGGATTATAATAGTACATTGTAAATTTACCTTAGGGCTTGCTGCCTCAGAGTATATTTATATCTTACATATAAAATAAGGCATAAATAAAAGTGATAGTATTTCGTACTTGACTTCAAAGTGCTAGGAATGAAGTGAGATAATTTGGAGTATTGTTGACCTCACTATCTTTTGAACAAATGCCAGAACTGTTAGGGCATAGCTATCAATTTATTTAACAGAAAACCTGTTGAGTTATTACTAACAGTGTTTTAAGTTTTCTCAAATATTTTAGATTTATGTATAAAAATATAGTTGGAACACAAAGTTACTAGTTTCTTTGAGAAAGAAATGAATAAACATAAGGAACCACTAAGTTAGACACAGTAACAATGTAGGACCTAGTGAGGGGTGAGGATACTGGACTGTTGGTGTTGTGTCTTGGCCTTAGACTGCTTGGGTGGCAAAGATCCCCACTCTGCTCCGATGTTTTGTTTCTAGAACTCTAACACAAAGGAGTTGGAGTAGATGCCCACTCCACTCCCACAGCCCAGGCTGGACTTCAGACCTCTGTTCCTTCCCCTCAGACCCCTGACCAGTCAATGTGGACAGGGTGGGACACAGAATGAGTCATCACACAGAGGTGCAAAGCTCAATGCTGAGGATAAGGATCCTGACTGACTTCAAGGAGCTGAAAATCTGATGGGGGGTGAGGAGGAAGAAAGTAAAGATCTATTTTGTGATAAGTAACCACCCAGTTGACCTTAGGCTGGTTGAGAGAGTCTTGTGTGGAACTTCTAGAGACGAAGCAGCTTTGGAGAAAGACGGATTAAAATTTTCACACTAGCCAAAGTTGATCTGAATTAAAGCCAAGTCTGCAGAAGTCACACAACTATACTTATAGTGAGCGTTGTAAGTTCATTTTTGTTTAATATTTTAGACTCCCTACCATGAAAAGGACATCGTTAGTGTGCAGATACTGGCCCATGGCTTCATTATCTTTCTTCGTCAGACCTCCAGTTTTGAGTATTCTTTTCTGATCATCATTCGCAACAAAACAGCGAAGAGCCTTTCCTTCCGTCCCGTGTGGGTGCATTAAATGCACTCTAAATCCCTGGAGAAGGGACCTGTGTCTGTGCTTACAAAATGGCATTTACCTGTAAATAACAATATTGCCTGTTGGTGAGTGTCTGTGGTTTCCCACCAGCCAAAGGAGTAACACACATCTAGGGCATAATGGCCACCCACCTGTGTGCTCATCAGATACACAGATGTGAGACTCTTGGCCACCTGAACGCGATTTAGGGGATGCAGGGCATTTCCTCCAGTGTGAGTCCTGCCAGATGGACCCATATGGGCAGCCTCAATCTCCTCATCTGCACATTCATTCATTCATTCAAGCAACTAATATTTACTGAGTCACTGTGTGTCAGGTACTCTGCTAGGCACTGAGGATATATCAGTAAACAAGACATCAAAAATCCCTTCCTGCATCGTATTGGTAGTAAAAACAACAGAAATTCATGCCACATGTATGTTTTCCAGTTAACAGAGGACCAGATGAGTTCAGAGATATGAGAGATTCTAAAAGATGCAGAGTCCTGTGTCAGCGCATACTACTTCATTCTTGGTTCATCTCGTCGTCAAGGACATGGAACTGAGCCAGTGTTGTTACGCTTTCTGAAATAGACCCTCCAGCTGAGAATGTCCAGCTCCCTAGTCTACTTTCCTTCTCATGGACTTCAAGGGTTGAAACATAGGTACAGGGTTGATTTCATTTCCACCCCCGTTTCCTCTGAGATGGTGACTTACGGCTGGTGTCCGGATCTGCTTCTCTGCTGACTGATGCTGTGTCTGGAGGCCAGCGTAACTGGCTCTGGAACATGGCTCTGTCCTCCTTGTGGATCAGCTCGAACACACTCTGGTAGATGACATCTGACTACAAAGACCAAGGGACAGAGTCATACTCCTAAAGATTTCTTTCTTTTTTTTTTTTTTTAATTTTTTTATTTTTTGAGACGGAGTCTCGCTCTGTCCCCCAGGCTGGAGTGCAGTGGCCGGATCTCAACTCACTGCAAGCTCTGCCTCCCGGGTTCCCGCCATTCTCCTGCCTCAGCCTCCCGAGTAGCTGGGACTACAGGCGCCCGCCACCTTGCCCGGCTAGTTTTTTGTGTTTTTTAGTAGAGACGGGGTTTCACCGTGTTAGCCAGGATGGTCTAGATTTCCTGACCTCGTGATCCGCCCATCTCGGCCTCCCAAAGTGTTGGGATTACAAGCTTGAGCCACTGCGCCTGGCCTCACTGAGTTTCTTTAAGATCATTATTTTGAAATCCATTTTAGACATTTCTAGATTTACTTTTCTTCAAGCTCTATTACTGGATAATTATTGTGTGTCTTTAGAGGGGTCAGTTTTCTTGCTTTTTAATGCATCTTGTGTCCCTACATTGATATCTGTGCATCTGGTATAACAGTTGCTTCTTCGAATTTTATAGAGTAGCTTGGGGGGAGACTTTTTTCTGTAGATGTATCTATGGTATCATTTGGGTAGGACACATTGGCTTTGGTTCTGGTTGGGCATGGTAGCATAATCTCTATATTTCTTTGGCTGCAATCAATGTCAGTGGTGTCTATGAGTTCCTTAGTGGCTTACAAAGGTTGTTTCTGAAGGCTGTGGCAAGGCTTTACTGGTGGTGGGGATGCTAGTGGACCAGACCTCTGGGTCCTGGTGGGCACTGGTAGTGGTAGTGGTCAACTTTGGGTGGGCCATTCCTTGGGCTCCTGGGTGATGAGTGCAGGCACGTGACAGCTCCACTGTTAGAGTGGACAGGATTGCTGGTGGTGGTGATAGTGGGCCCCAGAAAGACCAGTTCTGGGCCCCCCGGGTGGTGCATGTGGGTGCTAGTTGTCGTGGTGGTGGGCCCTGAGCAGCCCATGTGGACACCAGCTATGGTGGCAGCTGGCCCTAGGCAGGCTAGTCCTTGGGCCCCTTGGCTGTTGCACAGGTGCTGGCTATGGTGGCAGTGAGCCCCAGAAGGGGTGGTCCTTGAACCCCAGATAGTGTGCATGGGAGCTGGTGGTGGCAGTGGTGGGCCTGGATGAGTCAGTTCTTGGGCCCCCTGGTGGCCCATGCTGGCACCAGTGGTTCTGACAGCAGGCCCTAGGTGGTCCAGTCCTCAGCCCCCAGGTGGTACGCATGGGTGTGCAGTAGGCCCACTGCTGGACATTGTGGGATGGCTGCGGGTGGCGGCAGCCTTGAGCAGATGGCTCTGAGGCTTTGGGGATTGCCTTCTTGGCTCTGTATGAACTGAGAGTAGCCCTTCTGATGTGCTGGACTGCCTGTTCCCCAGTGTGTAGGGTGCTGATAGGTTCAGGTGCCACGGATGTGGCCCACCTCTGCGTCTAGCTAGGATTGCAACACTGCAGCCCTCTGGGCGGATACAGGGGGATGTTAGTGGGGCCTGTGATGTGGAGATGCAGAGGCTACTGGGCTCCAGGGCAGGATGTGGTCTGGTAGTGGCTCTACTCTCAAAATGGTGCTGGGTTATAGCAGCTCGGGTTCCAGGGGTAGGTGGGACCCAGAATGAATTCCTTCTCTGGAACGATGCTGTTGTGTGGACTCCAAGCAGCTCCCTATACTAGGCTAAGGGCCTGTGAGGGTTGAGGGGCTTTCCTGTAGCTAGGATTGCCAATATCTGTGGTGGGAATGCAGACTGCTGTGGATCTCCTGCTTACCTTTTCCTGGCAATGGACAATCCCTCCTTTGTCTGAGCCCATCCCAGCTGGGTGCTTTACTTACCTCTCCATGCTGCTGTTTTGAGTTTCTGCGCCTCAGAGGGTCATTGTCACTTTCCTGCTGAATTCCATTGTTCTCCCTTAGGTATTTTATTCAGTATGTGATTATCTTCTTGCTGTTTTGGTCTTTCTTTGTGGAGGAGGTGAGTGGTGAGTGCCTGTAGTCAGCCAACTTGATGATATCTCCTATTGCTATAGAATTTTAATAAATCCTTTCCACTGCATGGCATTCTTGGTGTATAAGGTGCTTGCGTATGCATTGCTGTTATTCAGTCTGCACAACAGTACTGTGAGGTGTGGAATATCTTCCCTCAGTGGTGGTAGTTAAAATGCAGATTTCCAGCTGCAGGGAGTATAGCTAAGTCACGCCCTCAGCTGCTGCACTCTGAAATGCTGTGGCTTTAAGACAAGCATGGTCCTGGTAGACACAGGACTTCTCTATGGGAACTCTGGCTTGAGGGCTCCCCTTTGGCCTTGTCAAACTTCCTTAGAGCTGTACTACAGTCTAAGACTTTCCCATGTAACCTTCCTCTTCCATCCCTCCTTCCTTCACAAGGGCCAGATCTGCACTTCTCAGGACTCAGGATTTCACACCCTAGTGAGGACCCCAGAAAATGGGGCAAACTCATTGCTGGGGTAGCTGCTAGAGTTCTGGGAAAAGCCAACGATTGGCAACATGGTAGTACCTGAGTTGTCCTGGCAGATGGCAGAAGAAGGAATAAAGGGGCTGAGAGAAAGGTGTGTGCTGGAATAAATGCATTTTATGACTCCAGAAGACCCATCAGAAATTATAGTTCCATGGGAGGGCCCAAGAGCCACACCACTTTCCAAGGCCATCAGGAGTGCAACGGGAAGGATACCAGCGTCACTGTGAGGTCTGGTGGCAGGCAGCTCTTCTGTGCAGGTCAGCACTTTGGCAGGAGAAGCAGCCACAGAGTTGGGCTCATTAATATCCATAGAGACAGTGGAGCCCTAAAGTAATAGAGGCCAGGTGGTGGCACTTGCCCAGCAGAAGCCAGCAGGCTGCAATTACAGTGACAACTGGCAAGGCTGAGGCACAGCCAAGAGGCTTGGCCCATAGAGAGTGGTGGAGGTGGTTAACAGAGAGCGGGGCCCCTAGGGGCAGAAGAGATGGCAGCCAGCAATAATGCTGCTTAACAGAAAAAGAGCCAGCATGGACGTTAGAAGGCTGAGGGCTTTTGCCTCAGTGAAAAGTGGCAATTTCTTGCTCAGTTTTGAATCTGAGACAATTTCCAGACCTGTAATTCATTGACTGAAGATCTGGCAGGGTCCCTAGGAGTAAGAGCACTGAAATACCATGGCAAGACATTCACTCAGGTGACCACACCTTCTGTCCAACAGATGAAAATGTCTGGATATTCTCCTTCCCCCCACTGTACGGTCACCTGAGTAATATCTGCAGGTGCATTTAGGGAATCCTCACAGTACATAGCTGCCACTGTAGCTACTCTGCCTACTGCCCATCGTGCTAGTTCTGGGGCAGCCAGTGATGGAGGTGGGCTCATGCCACGTGGCCCAGTCATCCTGTCTGCTTGGCTGAGTAGTGCCTTTTCTACGGGGGCTTCTTTCTGTGAACACTGATGAGTGAAACAAAAATCTTCACCCTTGGCACCCACTCTCATACATTCAGCAACATGCCCTATTTCAGACATCGTTGTCTCTGATCATCCTGCTTTTTCCTTCCAGGCCCCAACATGACAGACAGACCACTGGCCACTGCTGAAGAATCTAGATACATTTGCATTGTGGCTCACATCTCCCTCCACATGAGGCTGACGACCAGGTGCTCTGCTCTCACTTCTGTCCCTTCAAAGCCGGCAGCCTTCTTTCACTTTGGAGGAGACCTGACCACTGGACCCTGAAAAATTTCCCCAAAGTGCAGCTCTCTGCATTTTAATAGGCTCATCTCCCTCCCACAGGGGCAACCATGTCTCAAGGCCTGCCCTCCCTAATCTCCTCTTGCTCCTCCTGCCCAATCAGCATATCATTGTCACTGTAAATGGTCAGTGTCATTCGTATGGTATGTCCGGGTCTCCTCAGATTGTGTGAGGACACAGGGGAAGGGTTAACATGGCCTTGAAGCGAATGTTTAAATGAATATTTTCTGTCCCACATGAACATGGTTTTTTTCGGATTTCTCTCTTTTTAAACTGTAATGGGAAAGAATACATTTGCCAAATCACTGGCCACATACCATGCACCTGAGGGCCTGTTAATCTGTTTGAGCAGTGATAGTATGTTCTGCTCACAGCTGAAATCAGGCCCACGGTTTGGTTACATCTAAGCAGTCTAAAGTGATCACTGGGAACCTTCCGTTTCTTTGGGGCCCACACGGGGGAATCCAGTGGAAACACTGTGGGTCCAGGAACTCTGCGTTGTTTAGGCTTTCATGATGGCCTGCTTTCTGCCACCTCCCTGGGCATGACTTACTATCTTGGTTTCAGAGATTCCCCTTGGCTTTGTCCACTATGATGCTTCTGACTCCACAGGCCAAGGATCCAGTGTGGAAGTCAGTCCAACTGTCAGTCAACTATATTGATCCCAATGATAAGTGCGGGGAATAGGTCGGTGACCACTGGCTGGGTCCAGGGACTCCGTGGGTTTGTGTTGGCCAGACTGTAGCTGGCATTTCATTTATTTTCTGGCCCCCAGCAGCCCCCACCCTGATGTGGGGGCCACAATGACGCTTTGAGTGTCTGTGCTCAGACCCACAGGAATGAACATTTGGGTCACACCCAGGGGAGCCATCAGCACATGCTGACGTGAGGCTGAGGGTAGGTGGGTTCAGAACAGGGGTTGGGGAGGGAAAGTTTGCTACCCCGAGATCTGATTGGGGGCTGCAGTTTGCCCCACTAACCTCTCCTTTTTGGGCTTCCCTCAGGAAGAGAGACTCACGGGAACCAAGGAGGGAGGAGCTGCTCCGCACACCCACAGGGAGAACTCGCTCTCAGTCGCGGAAATGTGCCCTAGGCTCTGACTGCGGCGCTCGTGCCTACTACACCTCATGGCTCCACCACCGTGTTCAGGGCCATGATCCTGCAGTGTCCCCAGCCAGTGACTGAGTGTGGCAGGGACACCAAGGCCGGCCTGTTCCCAGGGGACTCTGATCGCCTCTGATGGGCAATTCGGGATTAAGAACCTCCCATCAGCCTTGCCGAATTCTCTTAGAACTTCCAGCCGTACACATTTCTCCTCTGTCTCCTGCGCAAGGGCCAGACCTGCGTGGAAGTGTGGCAGCTCCCCTGTCCGCAGCTGCCTTCCCTTGTTCTGTTCCTCGGAAGATGCTCCCTGAGGAATCTCGCTCATCTCATCGTGTGCGGCATCTGCTTCTTAAAGGACCTGGCCTAACATGCCCTCCAACAGGTGAGGAAGCCGGCATGTCGGGGAGGTTCATTTCCAAGACATACAGAGCATGTGCAGGAGGGACTGAGACTTCCCTTATAGCCCCTCAGAGACCAGGCTGCATATGGCCCATGGCCCTGTCCCATCCCCAACTCACTGACTTCCCTGAAATGAAACAAAACTGCTCACTTGATGAAATCCCAGGTAGTCCTGGACTGTGGGAGAGACGTAAAAGATGTAGCCATCCTCTGTGACTGCCATGAGGAAGCCGTTGAGGGCCTGGGGAGAGGCAGAGAAGAGAGTGCGTTCAGACTGGTTCATTAATTTGTCTCGCTTCTGGGCATGTGGAGCTCCTGAAGGCCCCGGTGCAGGCCCTGGGTGTTTCTGTGGAACTACTTTGGCATTGACTGCCACCTATCCTGGGCTGTCCCTTCCAAAAGCAGGGCCCAGAGCACCCTCAGAAAACTGGGGAGGGTGGGGAGTGAAGGCTGTCCATCTCTTACAGAGGATGACAGGAAGCCTTACTTTACCTCAGATGGGTTTGAGGGAGCCCCGAACTGAGAGCATCTGAGGTTCTGTGAGGCGGTAGAGAAAAAAAGGTTTGTGTTTCTATATGGTTAGGAATTCTGGGAAAATCAGAGTGAAACTTGGGACCTGGGCTAAAAGAGCAGCAAGCTGCAGAAGTTAATTCACAACTATAGCTTGTGAGAACTCCAAAGAGATTTCTGGCTCTGGTGGTATTTGTTATTTCATTTTTTTTTTTTCTTTTTTAAGAGATGGGGTCTGGCTCTGCTGCCCAGGCTGCAGTGCAGGGGCGTGATCCTAGCTCACTGTACCCTCAAACTCCTGGCCTCAGGGACCGTCCTGCCTTTGGTCTCCCAAAGTGCCGGGACTACAGGCTTGTTTACATTTCAAGGGAGGCTGAGACCCAGGAACATGGAGACATCCTGGGTTATAAATCTGGAGACAGACGGTCTTATCTTTCCCTTGGGAAGACCTATTTACATTCTAAATGGTTAAAGTAATAACTCAGGATCCTTTTCAAGGTTTTTCTCCTTCCTTTCAGTAGGGGAGGGAGAAAATATGTATATGAATGCCCAAATTTATATTTCTGCATTTCCTGCAGGCTTGATGAGTAGGATAACCTCTGCTTTCATTGCACTGTCTAGAGGTAAGGAATTGGGGCACAAGAGAACCAAACAGTTCTTGTTTGGTTATAAGTAAATAATCCTTGTTTGCTTGTCAGTAAATAATAATCTGCTCTCCTCTTATGTGTACGTTCAGGGTTATGGAAACAAATGAAGACCAACCAAATGAAAAAAGCAAAGGCTATTTCTTCAGAGCTTTCTAGAGTAAGGGAGTCAGCCACTGTCACTTTTTGCATTTTGGCAAAGACTTCAATGTAGGCAGAGGAGTGGGAAGTTTTATAGAGTAAAAAAAGGAAAGGTTTCAGGGGTGCACTGATTACAGGCTGCTCGCCGGGGAAGCTGTGGAATCATGAGCTCACTGGAAATGGGCTTCCTGTGTAGCAGCGTAGGCTGCACATTTGGCTTTCTCTGGTTGGTTCTAAGTTGGAAGCAGGGGCAAAAATCAGGGAAGCTGTCAGTTATTAATGAAGTCCTGGCCATTTGGGGCCAGTTGTTGTAGAAGTTATTGTTTAGCTTCCTGGTTTGTTATTGGAGATGGTCTTACCTCCTGTAAATCTGACTTACAGCAGGCTGGCCTTCTGGGCTGTTTGTTCATTGTAGACAAGGGACTGGTTTCCTGTGCAGGCTGTGGGTCAGAGTTCTGTTTTTATATATGGTCTAGCCATTGTTTGTTTGTGTATTCAGTCTCTCAGAGTAATATTAATGAAGATAGATATTTAAAGCTTAGCCATTTTCCTTCCCTGGTAGGATTTAAGAAGTGATTTCCTGATGAGTCTTGGCAGAGGGTGCCTGGGACATATCAGAGTGCTACCCCAGCCTAGAATGGGCGGGAGAGCTTGATGGCCCTGGGCCGTGAGGATACTAGTGCTCAGGAACAAGGGAATTTATCAGGGTCTGCATGGATGCACATCCAGAGAACAGGAAGGGAACATGAAGCCTGCAGAAATTGCCAGCACCCTGATCAGGTGCCTTCCAGTTCCCAAACCTTGGCACCATGCAAGTCTTCATGAACTTAGATCAGTTTCAAGAAAGAGGGTAGGAACTCACGAGTTGATAGAAATTTATGTTTCCACTTGGAAAAATAAAGTCTTAAAATGTTAAGTTATAGAAGAACAGAGAAAACTATGGTTCTTGCATGCCTCAGTGTGTGACTTGAGATGGTCACACTGCCTTAATTATAATAATGATAACAACAGTAATAAAAACAGTAATGATAGTCATGTTGAAACACATTACATTCTCCTTTAGTATTATAGTTTTACTATATATCTATCATTGTAATGATTCCTTTGTGTACATCCTCAAATCCTATGTTCTCTTGATTCACTGAACTCAATTAGGATTTGTGACTGTGTACCTCAAATGGCCCCTAATGCCACCCATAAATCCTGATACATTTCCCTGGTGCATTCACTTTCCCATTCTCTTAGATGACTGTTTCACATCATTTTCTCTGAAACCATCAATACCTCCTGCTTTCTCCTTATACTCAACTTTGCTTACTATTTCTTTGAAAAGAAAATGCAGTCCGAACTTCTACATACTCCCACTGATATGGTTTGGATCTGTGTCCTTCAACCAAAAATAAAACTTTAAGGCCCCCAACCATCTAAATGGACCTCTCCTCTTGGCCAAGGGCATTCCAAAGTTAACCTGTAAAATAGTTTAGGCCATGATGGGAACGGGAGGTTGGACATACTTCCTTACCGTTAATATCAACACAGACCTTAAGACTGAAAGAACAGACTCTTTAAGTCTGACAGGAAACATTTACCATCTATTCTCTTTGAAGCCTGCCACCTGGAGGCTTCCTCTACGTGATAAAACCTTGGTCTCCACAACCCCTTATTATAACCCAGACATTCCTTACATTTGATTCCAGGTCTTTAGATGATAACTCAACCAGCTGCCAATCAGAAAATTTTTGAATCCGTCTATGACCCGGAAGCCCCCAGTTCCAGTTGTCCCGCCTTTCTGGATTGAATTGATTGATGTCTTAAGTCTCCCTAAAATGTATAAAACCAAGTTGTAGGCTGATCACCTTGGGCCCATGTCATCAGGACCTCCTGAGGCTGTGTCACAGGCATGTCCTTAACTTTGGTTAAATAAACTCCTACATTACTTGAGACTTGTTTCAGATACTCTTTGGTTTACAGTCTCCACCCAAATCTCAGGTGAACTGTAATCCCCAGTGTTGGAGGTGGGGCCCCGTGGGAGGTGACTGGATCATGGGGGCAAATTTCTCATGAATGGTGTAACATCATCCCCTTGGGGCTGTCCTCACAAGAATGAGTGAGTTCTTAGGAGATCTGGTTATTTAAAAGTGTGTGTGGCACCTCCCTCCTTGCCCTCTTGCTCCTGCTCTGGCCATGTGACATGTCTGCTCCCCCTTTGCCTTCTGCCATGATTGTAAATTTCTTCAGGCTTCCCAAGAAGCTGAGCGAATGCCAGAATGTTGCTTCCTGTACAGCCTGCAGAACTGTGAGCCAATTAGATCTCTTTTCTTTATAAATTACTCCATCTTGACTGTTCCATTATAGCAATGAGAGAATGGAGTAATACAGCCACCACTCTCTCCTACCTATTTTATAGGCTCTGCCTCACCTCTTGTTACAATGCGTGAACTCTCCATGCTTCAAGCCAAGCCCAACCCCTACATCCCAGTTGCGTAGGCAGTTATAAGCAATGTAAATATATATCTTAATACTGTTATTCCTAGTTATATGGAATGGTAGAAGGAGAATTTAAACAATTAAGCAGTTCTTACATAGGAAATATGAGAACAATGCAGAATAACAAATAAGTAAAACTGATATTTAAAAGTAACTACAGGCTGCGTACGGTGGCTCATGCCTGTAATCCCAGCACTTTAGGAGGCCGAGGCAGGCAGATCACCTGAGGTTAGGAGTTTGAGGCCAGCCTAGTGAACATGGTGGAACCTCATCTCTACTGAAAATACAAAAATTAGCTGGGTGAGGTGGCGCATGCCTGTAGTCCCAGCTACTTGGAAGACTGAGGCATGAGAATCACCTGAACCCAGAAGGCAGAGGTTACAGTGAGCCGAGATTGCACCACTGTACTCTGGCCTGGATGACAGAGCAAGACTTGTATAAAAAAAAGTAAATAAAATATAACTGTAGGCATTTTTCAACTAAATCAAGGATGACAATATTGGTAAAATAAAATACCTCAATCCAAGCTTATAGGACACAGATACAAAAATGAGCAAAGAACTGCCTTGATTTAAGGACTTTTAAAAAGAAACTTCTGAACATTCTATTTCTTCAAGGGGGTGGTATTAAGTGACACCAATCTGCATATAATACTTCTGTTTTCTAAATTGATTGATACATAGTTTACATACATCGAATTGCACATTTCCTAAGTGTACAACCTGATAGATTTTTGACAAATACATTCACTTTCCCTACCAAGATATAGAGTATTTTCCAGAAAGTTCCATCATGACCCTTCCTAGCCAACCTCTACCTCTCTCCACTCTTGATGACATACCCAATACTTTATTTTATTTTTTATTATACTTTAAGTTCTAGGGTACATGTGCACAATGTGCGGGTTTGTTACATATGTATCCATGTGCCATGTTGGTGTGCTGCACCCATTAACTCATCATTTACATTAGGTATATCTCTAAAGCTATCCCTCCCCGCTCCTACCACCCCACGACAGGCCCTGGTGTGTGATGTTCCCCACCCTGTGTCCAAGTGTTCTCATTGTTCAATTCCCACCTATGAGTGAGAACATGTGGTGTTTGGTTTTCTGTCCTCGCAATAGTTTGCTAAGAATGATGGTTTCCAGCTTCATCCATGTCTCTACAAAGGACATGAACTCATCCTTTTTTATGGCTGCATAGTATTCCATGGTGTATATGTGCCACATTTTCTTAATCCTATCTATCACTGATGGACATTTGGGTTGGTTCCAAGTCTTTGCGATTGTGAATAGTGCCACAATAAACATATGACACACCCAATACTTTAAATTAATTTTGCCTGTTGTAGAATTTCGTACACATGAATTTAGTATACACCCTTGTGTTTGGCTTTAATTCAGCACAAAGGCTTTAAGGCTTATGAATCTTGCTGCATGTACTAATGATTCATTACTTTTTTGTTGTTGAGCCCATTACACAAACACACCAAAAATTGTTTACTCTCCTGTTTTCAGAAATTAGACTAGAATAGTTTGGTTTCCTCTGTATTTATCTTGCTTCAAGGTCATTGAGCTTTATGGCTCCATGGGCTAATATTTTTCATCAAAGTTGGAAAAATTTCAGCCATTATCTATTGATATCCTTTTTTCTGCCCAATCTCTCTCTACATTCCTTTTGTGACTCAATTACACGTATGTTAGGCTGCATGATAACGTACCACAGACCACCGAGAGTATTTTAATTTTTTTCATTTTTCTGTTTGTGATTTTATTTGAATAGTTGCCATTGACCTATCTTCAAATTCAACCACCTGTTTTCTTCCACTGATTCTAATCTGCTGTGAAGCATATGAAGTCCTTTTTTTCTAGTCAGATGTTCTGTTTTTCAGTTCTAGGATCTCCATTTAGTTCTTTTTATAGTTTCCATTTCTCTTTTGAGACTTCTCATCTGTTACTTATTAGGCCCATCTTTTTCTTTAAATCATGGAGCATATGTACAATAACTGTTTCAAAGTATTGATCTGTTAATTACAGCTTTGGTATCACTTCTGGGTCTTTTTCTTATGTCTTAGTTTTTATTCTTTTTCTTTTTAACTTAATATGGGCCAAGCAGAAATAACAAGCTAATCAGCTCTAGTCCTGGCCTCACAGAGATCACTTTCCAGAAGAGACAGACAATAGTCCAAGGATAATACAAATACATGTTTTTAATAGTAAGCAAAAATACAAGGTGCTATGAGTGTGTGGAATAGGAGGACCTGACAGAACTTAAGATTGGGACTCAGTCAGGGAAGATTTCCCTAAGTAAGTGACTTTAGAGCTCAGATTTGAAATAAGTAGCTGGTACTAGGCAGAAAAAACGAGGGGATGGGGTGAAAGAGTTACTAGAGTGAGAAAAATCATTATATGATTGAGAAATGAAAAGAAGGTCAGTATGTCTTGCTTCAGTAGTAAGGTGTGTTCATAGACAAGAACCAGATCATATAGGATTTTGTAGGGTATGTCAAGGTCTTTAGTCTGTCTCAGAAGCAACGGAAAAGCGTTCTAAGTTTTTCATTTACTGTGGGATTAGAGCAATTTAGCCTTTCTGTGCCTCAGTTTCTTCTTTTTTTTTAACTTTTAGGTTCAGGGATACATGTGCAGGTTTGTTATATAGGTTAAATTGTGTGTCATAGGGCTTTGGTGTACAGATTATTTCATTGTTTATTGTGTAAGAAATTAGTCCAACCTCCTTCTTTCGTATGCAGATATATAGTTGCCCCATACCATTTGTTGAGAAGACTATCCTTTCTCCACTGAATTTTCTTGGCAAAAGTCAGCTGACCATAAGTAAGGGTTTATTCCTTGATTCTAAATTCTATTCTATTGATCTATATTTCTATCCATATATCAGTACCACAATGTTTTTGTTTTCATTTTGAGACAGTCTCGCTCTGTCACCCAGGCTGAAGTGCAATGGCACAGTCTCGGCTCACTGCAATCTCTGCCTCGTGGGTTCAAGTGATTCTCATACCTCAGACTCTGGAGTAGCTGGGACTACAGACATGCACCACCATGCCTGGCTAATTTTTGTATTTTTAGTAGAGGTGGGGTTTTACCATGTTGGTCAGGCTGGTCTTGAACTCCTGGCCTCAACTGATCCACCCACTTTGGCCTCCCAAAGTGCTGGGATTACAGGCCTGAGCCACCATGCCCCGCCAGTACCATAATGTTTTGATAATGGTGGCTTCTGTAGTAGATTTTGAAGCTGGGAGTGTGAATTCTCTAATTTTGTTCTTTTTCAAGTTTATTTTGGCTATTCCAGGTTACTTGCATTTCCATCTAGATTTGAGAATCAGCTTGACAATTTTTTCAAAACAAAACAAAACAAAACTCAGCGGCGATTCCGATAGATTTTGTGTTGAATTATGTAGGACGATTTGGAGAATATTGCTATCTTAACAATATTAAGACTTCTGACCCATAACATAGGATTTCTTTCCATTTTTTATGTCTTCTTTAATTTCTTTCTACAATGTTTTAGTTTTCAGTGTGCAAGACTAGCTTAGTCAGCCAAATTTATTCCCAAGTATTTTATTATGTTTAATGCTATTGTAAATGGAATTGTTTTATCAGTTTCATTTTTAAATTGTTCACAGTAATGTATACAAATGTAGCTGGTTGTTGCTTATGATCTTGTATCCTGCAACTTTGCTAAACTCTTAGTTTCAATAGTTTTGTAATATATTCTCTAATGTTTTCTGTACATGATATGACATCATCTGCAAATAGAGATAACTTTATTTCTTCATTTCCAGTACGGAAACTTTAAATCTAATTTTTCTTGCCTAATTTCCCTAGAACCTCCAGTACTATGTTATGTTAAGTGTACCAATATACATGTAATGGGAACACCAAAAGAAAAGAAGGGAGAAAAGGAGCAGAAAAGATATTTAAGGAAATAATGGCTTAATATTTTTTCAAGAGTACTCCTAGGTATACATTTTCCAAGCTCTGTTCCAAATAATATCAGTCCCCTCAGAGAGCTGAACAGGTCTCTGTTCTTATGACCTATCTTTCTCCAGTGCCACTGCATTGGAACTGGGATCACGGGTGGCAGTTGCTTCTCTCAGTTATAGCTTCGCTGTATGGTTGGGGTCCTGGGCATGGACAGTAACCCCTGATCATCTTGGCTTGCCTCTTCTGGTTTGGATTCTCCCTGCTACGCGTAAGCTGAGTTGGGGAAATTTGGGGCCAGTATTTTCAGCCTGCTGTGCCTGGGATGGAGTTTCCCAGGCACAGCAGTTTGAGTTTGTCATAGTTATAGAGTCAGAGAACTTCAAGATCAAAGCACTGGGAGGTTCAGTGTCTGGTGAGGGCCCCATTCCCTGCTTCCAAAATGATGCCTTGTTGCTGCATCCTCCAGAGGAGACCAATGCTGTGTGTCTCCAGAGGAGACCAATGCTGTGTGTCTCCAGAGGGGACGAATGCTGTGTGTCTCCAGAGGGGACGAATGCTGTGTGTCTCCAGAGGGGATGAATGCTGTGTGTCTCCAGAGGGGACTAATGCTGTGTGTTCATATGGCAGAAGGCAGAAGGGCAAAAGGGCCTCAGCCTGTTCCTCCATCCCTTTTATAAGGCACTAATCCATTCACAAGGGCAGAGCTCTCATGTCTTAATTACTCCCCAAAGGTCCCCACCTCTTAATATCAGCACAATGGGATTAATTTTCAACATGGATTTTGGGGGACACATTGAAACATTTAAATAAGCAAACTTTGAGTAAAACAGATTTGCCTTTATAATGTTGGTGGGTCAAATCCAATCAATCAATTGAATCCCTTAAGAGAAACAGATTGAGATCCCCCACAGAAGAAAAATTCTGCCTCCAGACAGCTTTTTGACTTGAGACTGAAACATCAACACTGCCCTGGGTCTCCAGGCTGCTGACCTCTCCTGCAAATTTTGGACTTATCCCACAATCACATGATCCAATTCCTTAAAATGTATCTCTCTCTTTCTACACACGCAAACACACACATCCTATTGGTTCTGTTACTCTGGAGAATCCAGATTAATACAGAAGCCCTACTGGGAATTTTCAGCCAAACAAACTAATTCTAAATAATTCTTAGGAATTCCATTTCAAGAGATTTTGTTGTGCTAAATTTCTATTTTAAAGGAGAAATACAAAAGATTTCAAACTTACAAAAAAGTGAAGAGAACAATATAACCTATGCTTAGATATCTTAACACATACTAACACGTTGACAGGGTCTTTGTAGCAGATCTCTTTTGAGTTTTTAAAAAGATCCCTCACCTTGTGGTTGGGCACATGAAACTACAGACTTCTAAGACAGAGTATGCTGAGACTAAACCTGCAGCCAGAGAAGAGCCTAATGATTTGCCAATAGATAAATAAGCCTTAACCAGATAAATGAAGATGGAGTGTTCTTTCATGCCACCTTCTTTTACCTAAAGAAGAGACCCACCTGCTTCTAATCATAGTCCTTGAGGGAATTCACAGGGGATGACCAATCAACCAGTGGTTTTGTATGTTCTTTGTGGACTGTCTGCTGAAGTTTCATACTTCTGGTGTGTAAGGTAAAAAATCTGCTATATTTATGACACCCAGAATGTGGATTCCTTGGTGAGGTAGCAGGAATATATCGTATTTAGATACAAAATTAAAGAGAAAGAAATGTTTCAAATGCTCAAAGTAGTAAAAATGAAATATGGTATGGTAATGTTTTTCATCTACACACAATTCTTCCTTTGTACAGTTGTTTCGTGACTCAGGACATGATGGCTTACAGCATGATTTTCACATATATTCCTACATCTGAGTCTCACAGCCCCTGAGGTATATAGAGAAGATGGAGTATCACTTTTGGGAGGTAGTGACTACCACTCTACTAGCAGGTGACCATCAGGGACTGATATCTAGAGTTTCTGACTCTTCCTACCCCATGTATGATTCCCACCCACATTGCACCATGAGTAGAGATTTGTCCAAAAATGGAAAATTAGATATAGAGTACTCGATTCAACCAGAAATTTAACATGATAATTAAATATATATTGAGCAAAAGTTGAAGCAAAATATTTTCTGGAAAACTCCGAGGCCTGATTCTGTTATAGTTATAACCACTGACAAGGAGTGGTTTGTACAGTACCTGAAGAAGCAAGTCCCCTTCAGAAAACAAATCTACATTGACTTGTGGAAAGGTCTGTTCACTTCTTCCTGGGTTCATGGCTGGGTCAGCTGAGCAGCCTGCATTGTTGTCCTTTAGGGTTGCTGAGAAAGAAAAATGGTGTTATTGTGAACATGTGCCATCCCACAGGGATGAAAAGGAGAATCCAGGTGACCCTGGTTCTCAGTTTCAGGATAGCCAGTGTCACTCTGTGTACTGGCACCTTGAGTTCTTCCACGGTTCCAGTAAGAGCAGTCACATCTGATTGAACACTTACCTCCTCTAGCTGGGAAAAGAGCCCCATTTTAACTTTTGTCTGAGCTGTTCTTACTGTGGCTTCTCTACAGGCAAAATATTAATTCAGTTCAAATTCTGCTTCCTCTGAGGTGCCCTTGCTATTTCTCCTGAGGAAAATTTGCTGCGCCTCCTTCGACTCCCTTAGCATTAAAGTCACTGCCATTAACATTGACTTGGTGTATGATGATTTCATTTTTGCCTTATCTATCAGATCAGGTATGAGTGCACGACATGAACTATTACAAAAAAATTGCAGATCCAGACCCTCACCTGTTTCACCACCTCTACCACTACCATCCCGGTCTGAGACATTATCAACTCTTGCTGACCTTCCTACTTCTACTTCTGCCCCGTGTAATCAATTCCCTGAACAGAAGTGTGCATGACATTTCTGAAAAATTATATAACATATAACATCACCCTTCTGCTCCAAAGGCCTCATATATTCACAAAACCCTCCAATGGCCTCATATACACACAAATCTTATGTCCTGACCATGACCATTAGTTAAGATTCACTTTTTTGTAACTAAAATTCCCCAAATAACAATAGCTTACAAGATAAAAGCATATCTCATGCTCATACTGTATCAGAATAGTGCAGTCAGGGATGTGTGCAGCCCTGTCCCATGAGGCTCCATGGGACCAGCTCCTTGGAGCTCATCCTCTGCCTTCCTGGACTCAGCCTCAAGGCCTCACCCCTTTTGCTCCCAGGAGGAGGGATCTGCAGAAGAAAGGGTGGCACCATCTCTCTCAAGGAAGCTGCCACCTGACTCCTTTGCCAATAGCCTATTGGTCAGAACCCTGTCACATGACCACACTGGTGCAAGGGAGCCTGGGAGGCTGGCCTTTTCCTGATGCCATGTTTTCTCCTGAAACTGCCCGGCTCCCACCAACACTGGCCATGTCAGTCACACAGCCTCCTTCTGACTCCTAGCTGTTTCCCAGAAAAGACAGGCCCTTCCTGATCTTTGCTAGGAGCTTTGCAGGTGCTGTTTTCTCTTCCTGGAAGTCCCCTCTTGCCATTTTTCACGTGGCTTCTCTGTCACTTCCTTGTTGCTCAGATACCTTCAGAATGGCCTCATCAGCAGTGTCTGCTGTTCTCGCCTCTTGCCCTATTTTCCCCCCTCAGAGGCTTTACCCTATTTTATATTGTACACTTGTCTCCTGACCCAGGGGCTGTGTCTTCCACTTGGATGTAACTGTTGTGCCGATGAGGTTTTGTTCCCTCCTGTGTCTCCAGCACCTGAAGCAAAGTCAAAGGCCCAGGGGTATTCAGCAAGGGCGGCGATGCAGATAGGCAGGTGCGCCTGCTGGACCTTCCTCCAGGTGCTGCCCGGGGCCAGGGTCATGCAGATAGGCAGGAGCGCCTGCTGGACCTTCCTCCAGGGCTGCCCGGGGCCGGGGGCATCATCACATTTGTATACAAGCAAGTTAACAGGGCTTTGGTTGTGGGGTCACAGACAAAGGACTAACAAGCGAAGGAGGAGCTTATGGAACAAGGTACAGGGCCCTGGGTCCCTAAGTAAGCATCCAGTTTTTCCTCTGTCCTCATCCTCTGTTCCATAATCCAGGGAATTCCAAACTCTATTTCTGTAGAAATGAAGGGAATGTGGCCCCTACAGGTGCTCGCAGCTCTTTTCTATATACAAATCATCCCTAGAGGGTTCCAGCAGAGGGAGCCTGAAAAATAAGCCAAGAAGTCTTTGCCATTTCACATTTCTAAATGTTATTTTAAGCATGAATAAGTTTGTACAAGTCTGAAGAATATTTAGCTGGGTAAGCAAAATTTATCACTAGTAAAGAAATAAGCTGGGCACGGTGGCTCACGCCTGTAATCCCAGCACTTTGGGAGGCTGAGGTGGGTGGATCACGAGGTCAGGAGATCGAGACCATCCTGGCTAACATGGTGAAACCCTGTCTCTACTGAAAATACAAAAAAATTAGGTGGGCGTGGTGGCGTGCGCCCATAGTCCCAGCTACTCGGGAGGCTGAGGCAGGAGAATGGCGGGAACCCGGGAGGCAGAGCTTGCAGTGAGCCGAGATTGCACCACTGCACTCCAGCCTGGGCGACAAAGTGAGACTCTGTCTCAAAAAAAAAAAAAGAAAAAGAAATAATTGTATAGTTTGCTTGACAGTGAATGACATTCCAGTGCATACTCAGGAAATACTTCCCCACAAAATTATCAGCGATATTGGTGGATCTATTTTCTTCTAAGTTGAAGATTAAAAAACAAGAAAGAAAGCTCATCTGAAAAATCCTATTTAACCGTAATGTGCATAACTTGGGGATAAGATGTTCCCCATGAAAAACAAGCCCGGATAGCAGACATTTTCTTCTAATCAAGTCCTCAGTTACACAGAAAACAGCACCATTAACTGCATCACAAAAGTCATCAGGGAAAACTCGTGGCAAAGACGCACTAGTAAGCTTGTTAAAAATCATTGGAAACAGTGGTTTTCTTGTTATCACAGGGACTCGGCAGTAAGTGCGAAGCATGGCCATCGGGGCATCATCCTCCCTGTCACAGGCGGGACCAAGGGGACCGGGTGAGCACTGCTTTCTAACCCTCTTATGATTGGCTGTCTGGTTCCCCAAATTCTGAAGGAATTTTTGTAATAAAGGGATTTAAGGCTGAAAATACCCGCTAATTCAGGCATCATTTTATTATCATTTTGTGTATAGCATGTATTACCCCTTCTAATACAAGCTTCCCAAAAGAGGAAAAGAACAGGTTACCCATGGGCAAACCCCTCTCTACCCTTGTTTTTCCTTTGTTATTCGCTTTTGGTCTCTCTCAGCCAAAAAATGGTCAGATTTCTCTTTGTCCATAAGCTTGACGCTTTGCCAAATGATTTTTTTTTTTACCTCCTAAACTTCATGAAGGAAAAGCATTTGAAATTTGACAAATAGACAAACTACTGTTTGTTTTCTGGCTTTTCATTAAACCGATATTTCAGTCAGGTCCCCAAATATTTTCTTCACATTCCACTTAAATGCTAGGGGAGGCCAGGCGCAGTGGCTCACGCCTGTAATCCCGCACTTTGGGAGGCTGAGGTGGGTGGATCACGAGGTCAGGAGTTCGAGACCAGCCTGGCCAACAGGGTGAAACCTTGTCTCTACTAAAAATACAAAAATTAGCCAGGCATGGTGGCGCACACCTGTAATCCCAGCTAATCAGGAGGCTGAGTCAGGAGAACGCTTGAACCTGGGAGGTGGAGATTGCAGTGAGCCAAGGTCGTGCCACTGCCCTCCAGCCTGGGCAACAGAGCAAGACTCTGTCTCAAAAAACAAAACAAAAACAAACCAAAAATGCTAGGGGTGAAGTCCCCTACGAGAGCAGAACTCCCCTGAAAGATGCTTCAAGCCTGTTTTCCTCTTTTAAAAAGTGGACAACTGACCTGTGTATCCGTAATAATGTATAACTCTCCATAAGTCCTAGATAAGAAAAAAGATCCAAAGATCAAAGTGAAATAAGCAAAGCAGATATTTAATCTTGTTGACAAAGTTCTATGTAAGAAAAGTAGTGTATGGCCACACAAAAAAATACTTAGTAAGTGATCCGTCTCTGATTCTTAGAAAGAAACCCAAGGGGTATTGGAGCTGCTTATGCTTGTCCAAGCCAACATCAAAGACAAAACAGCTGAGAGAAACTGCTGAGGCTGGCTGGAAATCAGGTAAGAGTCATTTTGCAAAGAAGTCTGAGTCATTTTACTGTTTAGTAACTTACAGCAAACAAGCACCCTGCCCTGTCATCACAGAGCCCAGTGGAAACCGGGGGCATTTCCACTTCCACGTCCTGGAGTGGCCCTGGGTCAGCTGCGGCTGGAGCCCTGGCTGGTTGTCAGGGAAGAAAAAAGGTGGCAGAAAGGGGAGGAGGGGGCTGGGGAAGGAATTCAATCCGAGATCAGCCTCACACTGATATTCTGAGAAACAGGACCTTCCTCTCCTCAGATCCAGAACCATCACCCCAACGGCAACGTTGCACCTCTTCTTAGCCTCCTGTGCTTCCTTTGCCACACTGAGCATTCATGTGCTCATTCACCGGACAGGGCAGCCCCAGCTGTTCATCCACTGCAGTTCCCAAAGGAATAGGAGCAGTGGGTTCCTGTTCAGCTGGTGGTCTCTGTCTTTGGTGACAAGATGTGACAATGTGCTTTCCCCCCCCATCTCTCTAAAAGAATCTCCTCATCTACATTTTCTACAAGATAACGAGGCCCAGGAAGCCTGAGACCCAAGGGATGGACCATCCAGACTCCTGCAGCTCAAGCTCATGGCTTCAAACTACCTCATTCCAAACGGAAAGAGGCTCCGCCCAGTGCAGCAGGTGCAGGTTCGGTCCTGGCTCGGTCTCACTGCTGTTCCGCCTTCAGAGAGCCCTTGACTCCACTGAACCTCGTTTATCTTGTCTGTGCTGGGAGATGATGAAAACTCACTGAGTGAAATAACTGAATAAAAAGTCTGGCTCACAGAAAATGTTCAATAGACGGCAATTCTTTCTCACGAAGAATAAATTACGTTGGTGTAAACATTAATTAATGCCGGCTGGGCGAGGCGGGTGGATCATGAAGTCAGGAGATCGAGACCATCCTGGCTAACACGGTGAAACCCCATCTCTACTAAAATTACAAAAAAAAAAAAAAAAAGCCGGTCGTGGTAGCGGGCGCCTGTAGTCCCAGCTACTCGGGAGGCTGAGGCAGGAGAATGGCGTGAACCCGGGAGGCGGAGCTTGCAGTGAGCCGAGGTCATGCCACTGCACTCCAGCCTGGGCAACAGAGCGAGACTCTGTCTCAAAAAATATATATA